CTTGTAGAGTATCTACCAGTTGGCTGAGATTTTCTCTTTAGCAGAGCTCAGATATCTTCAGGTTGCCAAATTAATGCAGAAATTATTTTCTAGCTCATTGACTTAGAAAATATATTCATCTTTCATTCACTTGTAAATTTGTCATTCCGAGCATCACATTCATAAATGAGAGAAGAGACTTGTAATTTTTATGATCATAACCAGGGTTTGAATAATCCCATTATTGTTTGTTTCTACATAGAGCCAAGAAGACAAGTTCTGCCTCCTACGTGAACAGAATAATCTAAGAATCTGAACCAATAATCCCAATTTGTCTCTGTTTTTTGTCCTCCCTCTGTCCTGCAGAGACCCAGACACCCAAAGCCAGCTACTTTCTGTGTCAAGAAATATTGTTGATTTCATTTATTTTGTGACTTGCGTCAAATTTTATTCTTGAGTACTTATAAATATACTTTTGTTATTTGTGTGGACTTGTTGGTTTCAGGTGCCAGAAATCCAAATCTAACTGGTTCAGACAAAAAGGAAATTGTTTGGAAGAATAAAAGGTATAAAATCAAAGGAAGGATTGAAAAACCATGATGGACCAGGGTGCAGCTAGGCTCAAGGGCAACTAGAACCAGGAACTATCTGGTGTCTGTCTGTCTGTCTGTCTGTCTCTCTCTCTTATTACAGACCAGCACAGTCACAGCTTCTGTTAACACAGAGGAACTGGCTCCTTGCTAGTTACACTTCAGTAAAACCTTGGGGAAGACACCGATTGGTTTAGCTGAATTGGGCTCCTACCCCTGAACCAATCAGAAGGCCAGGAGGAAGCTTCCCATGGAATAGATCACATGACCCTAGAGACTGGTAGATATTGTGAACAGAGCAGCCACCTGAAGGAGGGCCCCCTGCGGTGTCTTTTTAGATTTGTTTTTGAAAGCTCTGCCCAGTGTTTCTAAAATTGGTCACAAGAAACAGCTACTGTTGTGAAAATAAACTAGTGAAAAAATCATTCTTAAATTGAGAAAATATAATAAAATTCAGAGAAGAAAATTAAAATCAATCGCAATCTCATCCGCCAAATACAAGCCCTATTTACATTTTAGTGTATATCCTTCCAGTCTCTTCTATGTACCTATGTTCTTTCCTACACATAGTATATCGAGATCGTGTTAAACGTACAATTCTACATTCCGCTGTTCACTTAAATGTAAAAAGGATACTCTTAATTAATAACCTTTTATATTTATAAATCCCTTTAGATCAGGGGGTCTATGACACATCGGAAGATCCACAAACTTCTTGAATTTATATGCATAATCTTATAGGTATAAGCGTATTGGTGTATATTTCTCTTGGGAAGGGGGTCTATGTTTTCACCAAATTCTCAAAGTGGTCACTGACCAAGAAAAAAGTTAATAGCTATGACTTTTCGAGTTTTCAAAGCACTTTCCCATAAATTACAACAGACTCATAGCCACTGTGTATTTACTTTCAACTAGTCTCAAGTGACATATAGGCTCATGATGTGGCAAACTGTAACTTGCGAATGCATGAATTTGAAATCACAGATGTTCAAGCCGGACCCTTAGCTTGTGGGTGAGCCTAGCTGGTGCCCAGCATCTGCGCTCAGCAAAGCACCCTTATCCTCACATAATGACTCGCTCTTGTGAATGGATACACTGCTTGGTTTTTTTGTTTGTTTTTGTTTTTGTGAGAAAGATCAGCCCTGAGCTAACATCAATGCCAATCCTCCTCTTTTTGCTGAGGAAGACTAGCCCTAGGCTAACATCCGTGCCCATCTTCCTCCACTTTATATGGGACGCCGCCACAGCACGGCCTGACAAGCGGTGCGTCGTGCGCGCCCGGGATCTGAGCGCTCCGCCGGCAGCGGAGCGCGAGCACTTAACCACTACACCACAGGCCCACCCCACACTACACCACAGGGCCCGCCCCACACTACACCACAGGGCCCGCCCCACACTACACCACAGGGCCCGCCCCACACTACACCACAGGGCCCGCCTCACACTACACCACAGGGCCCGCCCCACACTACACCACAGGGCCCGCCCCACACCGTTTGTTTTTATGCCACTTGTAGGGGGTTACCAGTTGAAGGAGGCTGGCAGGTGCGGGGAGGGGAGCCAGGGATCCGGTATACTGTGGAGGTGAGATTATGACAGAGAATATAGGATCTGAGGAGCTTACATTTTGGGATATTGATGGTGAGTTACAGAGGCGTGGATAGAACTGACTGAAACTGTTTAGCCTAAAGCTGCTTCACTGTCTGAATTACTCCTTCCTAGATTGACAGAGCTTGGCACAGTGACTTCCAGGCAAGATCATTCAGACGATCCGAAACCAAAAGTGGATTTTTCTGGCAAATTATCAAGTTCATCTATATAAATTACACTAAATAGCCAACTATTGTTCATGTCTCCGCTCCATGGTGAATTGAATACACCGTCAGTGGATTTAACCCTTCAGAGACTTCTTTGATTCTGCTCTGGCTAACCTTATTTGACGGTGGCAAACTTTCCTTTCCACTTTGTGTGGCCTAGGTCTCTCTACCCCATAGAAGTCATGTTCTCTGTTCCGAGGCACACACTTTTATCTTAATCTTCGTTTTCCAACTCAATTGTGGTATTTCGCTGGGACACCCTTTCACTCTCCACAAAAACTACATACGCAATTTGATGGCCTCAGGTCTGCCGTTCTGTGTTAACCCAGGGGACCCCAGGCCGAGCATGAACACACCCCAGCTGCCACTGTAATGGCGCATTCCCAGATAAAGCCGCACCTCTCCACCTGCTCCGTGTCATCGCGTCTCCTTTTTAAAAGGCCTCCCTTGATGCCTCCATCCGTTCAAATCCCTTCTCTGATTTGCCGTACTTTTAGGTGTCCACCGCAAACAGTCGTTTCCCTCAGAAATGTGAAGATCCGTTGCTCAATTATCAAATTCTTTTACTCTTCTTAAGTTTAAACGCACACTCCGTTTCTTACTGTTTGATTCCCATTCAGCACACGTGAAGCGGAATTTAGAGTTTACCCTGATGAGTGAAAAAATGTATTGATCAAATAAATTCTTTGCCACACAGAAAGCAACCAGACCAACAACAGAGAAAATCTAGTGAAGATGACTGGGAATACAAGGCCCACATTATATTCTAATGACTCCTCATAACTCCGTCCTGATTTTGAGTCAGTCTCCCCTGGGCCTCAGTTTCTCTCTCTTTCTTTTTTTTTTTTTTTGGTGAGAAAGATTAGCCCTGAGTTAACATCCATGCCAATCCTCCTCTTTTTTTTTTTTTTTTTTTTGCTGAGGAAGACCAGCCCTGGGCTAGCACCCGTGCCCATCTTCCTCTACTTTATATGTGGGACGCCACCACAGCATGGCTTGATAAGCGGTGCATAGGTCACCGCCCAGGATCCACAGCTGTGAACCCCAGGCTGCCACAGTGGACTGCGCAAACGTCACCATTACGCCACCAGGCCAGCCCCAGTTTTTCATTTTTTGAAAGGTACAATGTCATCGTCTCCTCATTGGGATGTTAAGAGTAATTCTGAAATCCCGTTGATAAAGTGCTTTGAGTTTTTCCAAAGAAAATGACTTAATATCAAATAAGAGCACATTGCTAAAATAGCTTTCAGTTCCACTAAGAATATATAATGAATAAACTTGCGCTTCCCCTAGTATTGAGTTAAAGAATTATTCTATACAGTAATCTGGGGTTTAGCAAGCCAAATCCACTTGAATATTTGCCAGTAATTAATAAAAAATACAAAACCCTCAAATGTCACATCATTTCATTTCTATAAACTCAATTGCCTATTTTGTGTCAAACTCCCTATTTGGTATCTTCTGTCTTCTTTATCCACTAATCTTATATTTCCAGACCTAATATTGATATCTCACAAAATTGCCTTCTATTTAATAACAACCCTCAGGGACTATGAGTATGTCGTAAAAAGGAAAGTCACATTTTCACACGACAAACGGACATGAAGTGCAACTCAATGTCTCTAGGCAAAAATGGACACATAAATGTTGCCACCGGGTCTGGCTCCCTGATCCCCAGGCCTATTACACTTCAATTTTTTTTTCTTGGTCCAGCACTAAAATTACGTATGCAATCTTGATTGTGTAATAGCAAGAGAATATAATTTACCTGGGTATGTTGTTGCAGATGGAAATATTCATCCATTCATTTATTCAACATATACCTATGAAGGCCCTACTGTGTGCCAAGCACTGTGGTAAAACTAAAGACTCAGCAGTGACCAAAATCAAGTCTCTGATCTCAAGAAGGTAGCATTCTAGAGGAAAAAGGTAATCACTTTCCATTTTCCTTCCTGGATTCCATTTCTTTCCAAATAAATAAGCAAGATAATTTGATAATGATAAATACTATAAAGAAAATAAAACAGGGTGACATGACAAGAGATCATTGGATTGGAGTAAGCTTCAGTTAGTTAGCTAATTCATTTGTTTGAACAATTCCTACAATTTCAGGATAAATTTCAAGTCGACTATTCCAGAAGCCAGAAAGAGGAGTATTTTTAAAGCTGTTTTTGTTTAGATTGTTAATCACTCATTTCTAACAACTGAAAAGCAACTTAAGTTGCTTTTAATTTAACTGGAGGAAGAGATTCCCCTTCTCTTCTAGCTTTTGGAGGTTGAAGAAAATAATCTAGGAATTAATTGCATCGATACTAAGAAGCAGAGCAGATAGTAAAGGAGGCATGGCCAATTCCTGACTCAGCAGCCAGGAAAATAAAGTTCCAAACACCATTCTGCATTATAATTGTCTCACTTCCATAAATCCAGACCATGGGGAAGAAACACCTAGATAGCGTAACACATGGCAACCTCCTCACAGGTCTCGTTTTACCCTGTTCTGGGAATCCGTGTGTTTCCTAAGTATGAAAATGGATGGAAGGAATGAAAAACAAAATATAAAGCAAAGCAAGTTTGGTCACAATTGATGCTTTAACTCATCAAGGTAAATGATGACTTCTGGACGTCTTTCATCAACACTTGAGTGGCAAAAATATATCAAAATAATGTTCCCCTCCAGAGAAAAAGAAAAATCAAAGAGCAAGAGGTATTGTTGGTCTTGATTTGGAAACCAAAGAATCCTAAATTCTTAAACTCTTAATCAGGCACTTTCTTTTCAGCTTTTGGGGAAATCTGGTCTCAGTTAGGGGATGCTTGTAATTCACAAGAATGAGTTAATCTGTTTGGATGAAAACTGGGTTCATTAGTTACGAGAAGTGAGAAATGAGCAGCACACACTCGCACGTGTGAACACACAGCACACGTACACACTTGAATTGCCGTTTGCATTGTGGCTTATTTACTGTATTAACACCAGGGACCTATACAGCTTTAAGGGATTGTCTCCCAGCTTCTCTTCTGACAGTATTTCCTCTACCTGTCACGTCTGCCACCAAGTTTCCTACCACACAGATGCCTGCAGTTTAAAGTCACCAAATATGAAATTTACAGCTCATCAGCAAAGGCAGACAATTCCAGAGGGCCACTAAACCAGTATTCGCCTGGGTACCTGGCTCACTCCCCAGCGGCCTTCAGCTCAGCAGAAACCTTCTGGGAGCCCAACCTGACCCTCGCCAAGACTGGGTCACCGCCCCCCGGTGTTCGTCCCTGGAGTAGCACTCACAGTCTACGTTGTAAACGCCAGGTAACCACTGTCTCATCCTCCAGACCACACCCTCGTTGAGGGCAGCGACCCTCCTGTCTTGTTCACTGCTGGGTCTGCAGCACCTAACACAGCACTCGGGATGATGGAGTGAATGAATGAGTGAATGAGTGAATGAGGTGAACTGTTCCTTTTTCACTGAGCAAAGAGAAGCACAGGAGGATGTGTGAGAAAGGAAGGAGAAACAAACAGGAGAGCTGGAGAGAGAGAGAAAGAGACATAACTTGCCACCTCTTGGAAACCATCACTAGTGGGCTGACAGGACCAGATTCCCCTGGTCAGCTTCTAAGGGGTGCTTCCTGGGTATTTTATTTAAACATTTAAAAAATATAAAAACTTTGAAGAGGGAAAATCATTCAATATGGGAATTTTACTCTGAAAGAACCAAGCAGGTAGGTCCAATAAATCAGACTTTTCATCTGCACTGAGGTGTGTAGAATGATTTACTACAACCGTACGGGAAATTAAAGGACTTTGAGCTGAGAGACACTCCAGAGGCCTGAAGCTGGGATGACGCAGACACAGCTGCATTTGAAGATGTGTCTCTGAGGCTGAGAGAGCGGACGCCTCGCAGCTGCCCCGAATCCACAGGTGACAGCGTTTAAAAGGGAGGAATCACAGTGGCTCTGTCCCACGGCTGATTGACACAATGGAATGTCAAGTCAGCAAGGGCAGGTTGCTTATCAAGCT